TTCAAAAATTAATATCGCTTTAACGATTGCGAATTTTGCAAAACGGTACAGGACTTTTCTGTTCAGTTTCATCTGCTCTACCTGCCCACGAGGTGTGGTGCGGTTATTATGGGACACCCTGTATACCTAGGAGCCCGGTTCGGCTCCTTTGTTTTTCGGGAGCCGCAGCTTCCGGAAAAAGGGTTATCGGGGTGACCCTTCAGATCCGGAGCTGGCGAGTTTCACGCGGTGTTGACAGCCGATAGATAAGGTCCTCGCCTAGTTTGGCGTGTGCCGAATTTATTAATGAATTTTATCTTTTGAGACCGGAAGGGTCTCTTTTTTAAGAACTCACACGTGGGACCAGGCGGCGATCTTTTCTATTTACTTAATTGTAGGGCAATGGGGTTATCGGCAAAAGATTTCTCTAATTGACGGCTCTCGCGCGTCCGCTTCTTAAAACGCAGAAAGTCTTAAATCTAACACGTAATAAAATAATTGCCGCTAATCGACTTCCCGTTTCCGGAGCTCTCCACGAAAGAAAAGAATCGTGGAGTCCTCACGTAACACTATAATGTCGAATAATGTATAACTTTTTTCCCCAAGTTTGATCATTTTCGTGAAACTCTCAAGTAATATGTTTTTTTTGTGCATTTGACATTAAAATTTAGATCTGAGATCACACTTGTATCGAGAAATATATGAGGATCATAATCATGTGTTCTTTCTAAATTAGAATTACATTTTTTGCATAACGCTTGGCTAACGTTTATGTTTTCTTTATCGTCAATAGCATCTTATACAATCAAATCCTTTTTTAAAGAGTATTTTAACGTTAATACATAAAGTAGGTAAATTTCTTTGTTGTAAGTAATTACAGACAGAGCATTTTAAAAACCTAATCACACTTGGTAAATCTGTAGACAATATTTGTATTTTATGATCAATATTACAGTTAGCATTAAGAAAATGTATTTGTCAAGTATCTAAAATATTACATAAATTTGTTTCTTGTAATATTTTCATACGAGTTTTATAATCATTTGTTATTATTTTTCCGCGGATTAAAATCTGTTGCGTTTTTTAATATTGGAAACTGAAAATCTTCAATGCAGTTTTTATAAAAACTATTTCTCTTTGCCTATCGCATGTATTAACATTTGTATTAAAGAATCAATCGCACATGTATTTCTTACATACACGTTTATTCTTAAATTTAATGCTTTCGCATAAATTGCCATTTCTTAATATTGGTATGTTTACAAATTTATGTGATTGTACAAAATCCCAGTTTAGAAAAGGATCCAAATAACTCGCTTTGTTTTTTTATTAGCTATAATTTTTCCGCCCCAATTTTCGTTAGTATTAAGATTATGTTCAGACTCTACATCGGATTTGTTTGCATTTTCTTCTAATAATAAACTTTTATCACTCGAATTGGTTTAATTATTTTCGTATTTTCATGAATTGTGTTATCAACATTTTCCATACTGTTATCTTGTACATTGCAATCGGATTTATTCGCGCTTTTTTCCGAGCTTCTGTCTTATCGCTATATTCATTATCATGCTCGTTTTAATAGTGTCTACATTTTCCGTACTTATATCTTGTACATTATTGCAATCAGATTCGTTCGTGTCTTCTTCTAAGCTTTTATCACTTATCGCTTTATATATTTTCATGTTTTCTTGAATTATGTTATCTACGTTTTCCATACTGACATCTTGTACATAATTGCAATCGGATTCGTTTTGTCTTTATTTAAACTTTTATTATCTATTGTTTTATATATTTTCATACTTTGCTCAAACATGCAATCTATATTATCCATACTATTTTGTATATTATTGTAAATTTTTTGTTCAATTGAAGCAGTATTTGAAAATGTCGATGTTGCTGAAGCTTCTTTAATCCGTCCATTTAAATAATCTACGTGACAAAAAATGAATTTATCAACTCTTTGAGGCAATTCATTTTGAAAAACTCGTGTTTTAATATTAGCAAATTCCGTTTCAACGCTGCAAGATGTTGCAACGCGCTGTCCTATTCCAAAAAATGGTATCACAATACCAGTCCAAATAGGAAGATAAGATATTAAACGTAGTATACTTTCAGCAGCATTATAATAAGCATTTAATGTTTCACCATTACGACATTGCGATGCAATATTTAAAGCTTGTTCATAAATTTTTTTAGCCCATCTATCCCATGAATCTGAGCATTGTTGTTCAAAATCTTTATATTTGTCTTTAGTTTTTTCATTTTCAGACATTTCCGCTTGCTCTATTTTGTTATTTTCAATTTCAGCAACTGGCATTTCTTTGATAATAGAATTGACATATTCAAATCGTATCTGAGATAGGAATAATTTGCCAGAATCAGATAATGTGTGACTGAGTGCTACTACTAAAATTGATTCGAAAAAATACTCTAAGTTCTCAATTGTTTTTATTTAATATGCATGACAAATCGATCTTATAAAAAATTGGCGCATTTTTACAAATGGATACTTTTTTATACAGGACCATCCACGTACTAGTACCACTAGATGACTTATACGAATATATGTTGTAAGGAATGTCTCTTTTTTGTTTATTATAATGTCGAAGCAAGTGTTCATATAATCTTTTAAATCTGCTTTCTTGCCAAATGCAATTGCAATAGATATTAATAGAGCCAAATCACAAACAATCATTTTAGGAATCGCAACTTTTTCACTTAAAATCGTCAAAAGCCAAGTTGTTATTGCAATTACAGTATGATCGGCAGATAGCATTTGAAAAACAGGTATACTTCTTGCAGACGAAACGCCTATACATTGATACAAATATATGTATTTTGATTTTATGTGCTGTGACATGACGTTTTTTGGCAACGTCCGTCACAAGGGCTTATTAGCCCGATCGCGAAGGTAGAATGAATCCTGCGTTCTCCGATTTTCGAAGGCAAGTGCACTCTCGATTTTGCCGTGTTACGCGACTCATTTTTGTCGTAGATTTAAGTATTTAGGTTATCCATAGACCATATTAAATGAGGGACGGCGACTGTCTGGAGGAGATTATGATAACAAGGCGTCGTCTCACCGGCTCCACGAGACTCCGACCGGAGGATCAGCGGCCACCTGGACATCCACTCAGCACGAGACAGGAGCACAGGTCACGTTAATTACTACTTTTTTTCTTTGTCATGGTGAACCCTCTTACTGCAATTCGCTTTACAGAGTCGACGGAGTGAGCCACCAGCCCTGCTAAGAACCCGGTGGAAAAAGGGCGCGGGAGAGCTGATCGCCAGGACTCGCTCCGAAATCGCGAGGGCGGAAGGACTTCCCAGCCACTAGAAATTAGAATTTCGTGCCCGTTATCACGAGGCCCGCGACTACCGCGGTCCTGGGCTACGTTTCAAAACTCGATCTACTCTAAGTAGGAGAGTCAACTCATGATCGTTCCGAAATACGAAGTAACATACTCTATGGGCGGAGTCTGTTCGTTCCAAAATTGAGAGTAGAGTATTCCCTAAGTTAACTCTATAAACCCCGCTTGCGAGGTGGGTTGGAATAGTAAACTCTAAGGTTAAGCGCCAAATATACGATCAATACAATATCATAAGAATAAAAACAATATATAATAATAATAATAATAATAATAATAATAATAATGGCTCAAATCCATGAATTTATACTAAATACGCATATACTCATTACAAACACCAATGGATTTCCATTGCAAGAAAATGGATCATTTCTGGTAATGGATGTAAATAGAAAATATAATTTTTATTAAGATAGATTTTAGGTGGGAAGAATATGTATATTATATTTAACATATTTTTATTCTTTTTAACTTAATTTGTATATATATTTTTATAGATAATAGCAAATTTACAGTCCCAGATTCTCCAATAATACGGAAGTTTTTTAATTTACAGTCTGAAAGTATATTTGAAGAGCATCAAGAAAGAGGTTAATTTCTTAATTATTGTACATATTAATTTTTAAAGAAATAATACTGATTCTTTATTATAAAATTGTTATTAGCTATTTTTAATATGTTATATATCTTTGTTTATTCTTTATTTATTAAGTATTGTTTATGAGATTTAATAACGTTATTGTGAATTTGTAGACTTAAATGTAGACGCGATTCATGATAATTCTACAGAATATGATAAAAATATTCCTCCATCTGAAAAGGATAGTCATGGTAAGAAACTAAATACAATATATGTTAACTATTATCATTAATTATTAATATTAAATAATAAATAAATAAAAGTATTACATTAATCCTTAAGTTCATGCCGAATTAAATAACCAGTGACAAAAAAACTCAATATGCTTTTTAAAGTGGTGCTAAAAAATATTTTGCGTCTTTTCTATTCGCTTAATTTGACATGAATTTAAAGATGTCTTTTCATATTGACGCTCGATCCCCATTTTTAGCATCTAAATAGATCACAAAAGAAGCTTTTCATATTTCATTATTGACTAGCTATGTCCACTTAGATTATATGACATATTTATAATAAACGTCTAAAAATAAACGTCAAATGTCGACATAAATTGGTATACCTATGTTAAGATTCATATCAATCTGGACACAATAATATTGGGTGCTTTTCAGTAACTCAAGTTGACACAAGTGTCATTATGTCTTTGTTACTGATTGTGAGTGAATATCAAGAAAGAACGACATTGTGTGTTAATTTTTACTAAATGGAAAACATCCATTATTTTCGTTTTTATATGTTTATCATCGCACGTGATTCTTATAATCTTTATTTTTCTTACAGCTATGTGGGAGGATTCAGCGGTTAAGCTTCTCTTTTGTTTATGGAAAGATTATACTTACTTATTTAAGAGTGATAAAATAAGAAACAAAGTTGTGTGGAAAAAAATTACTGATTGTTTGAAAGAGAAAAGTTATACATTTACAGCGAAACAAGTTGAAAATAAATGAAAAAACTTACGAAAGAATTACATTAAAATTAAAGATAACAACTCTTAGTCTGGAGCATCACTTAAAAAGTGTAAATGTTATGAAGAAATGGATGAAATATTTGGAACATCCCACATCGTACAACCTATGGCTCTTGCGTCAAATCTATCACAGAAAGATATGCCTTCTTCGACAGATGATGGACAAGAATGTTTTGAGGATAATAGTACACCACCTTCGAAAAAAAGTAAAGTGGACAAGCAGATAAATGTTTTGACAGAATATATACAGAAAAATAAAGAAGCACGAGAAAGAAGGCATAAGGAAAAACTTGAGCAACAAGAAACTTTAAACACGTATAAGAAATTGTATAATGAGTAAACTATAGGAAAAATTATAAATTAATCTGTATACTTAAGTATTTTATTTCGTTTTTTTTTTATTAATAAACTATCAATTTAAGTACTCTTTCCAACAATATTTTTTCTACGAAATCGATAAAATTTTTTTTGCTCAAATCAGAATATTTTATGTGGTTATGTTAGAATTTTTATAGTATTGATTAATTTTATGGGGTACTGATTTTAAAAAAAACTGAGTCTTTCAAAGTATAATTTACAAAGTGATACTAGTAAAGAAGTTAATAATAATATTAAGACATGTTTAAAAAGTGACAATTTTATTTTTTTTTAAGTAATATTATGTTATGTAGTTTATGTTAAGAAGAAAAAAGTATAATATAAATTTGATATCTCCAATGCCCAGTAAACATCCATCTTATGTATATACATAGAATATCCATAATGTGAAAAAAATGTATTGTACATATAGTGTAGGGGAGACCGGGGCTCGTTGGCACAAGAGGCAAGTTGGCAATGTGTTCCGTTTATATATTTATGACAAAAGAAATAATGAAAAAATTATCATAAAATATCTCTTTTGTAACATAGATACTTTTTCCAAAATTTTATCTGAATCAAACAAGTATT